ACTTGGTGTAGGTAAGTCATTCACCCTTATTTTCAAATAATTAAAAATATTTACATATTTAAAATTAATTTTACTTTTCCGACTGTTATGGAAAAATATTGAAATTCTGTCAAACTTGACGGTCCGGGTGTTTTGCAAATTGACGAACGTAATTTGTCGTTGTAACTTGTGCATAAGGAGTGATAATTGATATTAAATTTTGATGGTAAAAAGTCGAGAGGTGGAGAGATAGAGATTGGCACATGTCACATCTCGAATGTGGTCAGAGTTAATCAAAGTAAATAAAAATTTTAATCATTATTAGCATTTACAACTTTTTATAAAACTCGCCCCTTCCCTCAAAATTAGCCATGAACGTTTGCTGAACTTTGTAAAAAGTCACGATTTTGCACATAAAGTAATTAGTTTACCGAATTTTGTAATTCAGGGAATACAATGTTAATTACTTTCGTCAACTTTCAGCATAAACATAATGAATTTTTTCCATATTTTTATAAAATTTATATTTCTATTTTAGTTGGACATACAGATAAAGGAGCCTTGCCGAAATGGATGGGAGAAGAAAATAGCCCTTACAAAAATCTCGGTAAAAGCATACAAATTAGAAGTATAAATTTATTATCATACGAGATGGACGAAATTAAAGCTAAGAAGGAGACTCAACGATGGTTGAGCGGTACGTGTTTCTTGGGTATCCTTTTTTAAACAAACTAATCCCGGAACAAATAGTCTTGCTATTTGCTAATAATTGTTAATCATAGTCTGACAAGAATAAAAAATGTTCGGTTGCTATCATGAATCCAATTACAATTATTTCAGATAACTTCACTATATTAATTGCCGAATTTAAATTTAAACGACGGTTGACCGGTAACCTGATGAATGTTTACATCCCTAGTACATTAGTGGTCATGCTGTCATGGCTCTCATTTTGGATCGATGTCCACGCAGCACCCGCACGAGTTACTTTGGGTGTGACTTCAATCCTGACTTTAGTCACTCATTTGGTGGAGTCCAGAAGCTTTGTGCCTCCAGTGGATTATTTGAAGGCTCTGGATATTTGGTTTATGTTCTGCATTGTTCTGATATTTTTATCTTTACTGGAATATGCTCTAGCTTACCAATCCACCATCAAAATGAAAGAGGTACTGTACGTTCAAATAATTTTATTAGCAGTAATAAATGATATTAAAAAAAGGTTTAATACTCAGACATAAAACAAACTGTTGTGTATTTCAAGTAGCGTAATAAGATAATATTAGTTGTGCTTATCAAAGTATTTAGTGTAAGAAATTATTATAATTTATAAATAAACAGAGAAAATTATAAAAATAATAATTTATATATATAAAATTTACTAATATAATACTCTTGGAAGTTTCCTGTGTGCAGCATTAGTACTTTAACGAATTGGAAGTAGAGGGTGGAAAAAAAAGTAACTTAACACCCCTGCTACAGAATATAGGACGTACTGTACCCCATTAATGTACATTGAGCATATCATGTAACGTGCATAACTCTCTAACCGTTCGAGGTAGGTTAATAAAACATCTCAGCAATCAACTCCTTGTGAAATTCTGACCCTAAATGATGCGTCAAATAACCACCTTGCCATTACCAGTTTCGGTGTCGCATTCAATTTCGCCGCCATCAAGATGGTAGCTGTGCGTGTAATACGCAACAGTTTGTTTTTTTCCTTTGGTATAATGTGACATGAAAGAATTAATTTTAAGTATAGTACATTCTATATTATGTAGGGATTTTAGGTGACTTTCTTTTCCACCCTGTATATTTTGCATTAGCGTATTGTGCATTACCCAAGTAATGAAATCTGTGGATTATAGGTATAACGCACCAATATAATGGATCGAGTTTCACATACACATTGGCCGCTATAATATAATGCGCTATAAATTCCTTCGCGATGTTTACGCAACGACAGTTATATACACGTCTATAATTCATAGAGTATCAATGCAATTAACATGGCGAAACGGCTTAACACATTTCATCCGTTGTTAACTTTGGCATTAAACGAAAGTTATCTGATGCATAATACTAATGTTACATTAGTACAGACATTTTATGGCAGTTTCATTATTTATTTGAAGATTTAGAAAAGTATGACGTAAATTTCCGAAAGTATTTCCTGTTAAACAAAAGGGTAATCCTTCACTTCATCTGTCAGGTCGTCTATAATAGGTATGACAATCATCACAGGAAGCAAACTGCACTCTTAAAAACACGTGGACCGACATAGCCCCTGTTTCTGTCAAAAATGTAATAGTACGATTAGTAGAGAGANTCTTGCTATTTGCTAATAATTGTTAATCATAGTCTGACAAGAATAAAAAATGTTCGGTTGCTATCATGAATCCAATTACAATTATTTCAGATAACTTCACTATATTAATTGCCGAATTTAAATTTAAACGACGGTTGACCGGTAACCTGATGAATGTTTACATCCCTAGTACATTAGTGGTCATGCTGTCATGGCTCTCATTTTGGATCGATGTCCACGCAGCACCCGCACGAGTTACTTTGGGTGTGACTTCAATCCTGACTTTAGTCACTCATTTGGTGGAGTCCAGAAGCTTTGTGCCTCCAGTGGATTATTTGAAGGCTCTGGATATTTGGTTTATGTTCTGCATTGTTCTGATATTTTTATCTTTACTGGAATATGCTCTAGCTTACCAATCCACCATCAAAATGAAAGAGGTACTGTACGTTCAAATAATTTTATTAGCAGTAATAAATGATATTAAAAAAAGGTTTAATAGCCCAAAACTCCAAGACCTCTTCCAATGTGGCCCAGAGAAACAAAAAGGTTGGACACCCCTGATTTAGTATATTTAAGTTGTCCTTCGCCTTTGATATTTAACCACAATTTCTTACTCTCCCAGATGTTATGTATACGTAACAGGGGAAAGTATTGGAAACGTGTTAAATTTGACCCTCAGAATTATTTGCAAATCTCCACGTTTTCAGACCTCCTGAACCTAAAAAAGTCAAAAGATTCCGTAAATATGTATGTGCGTGTATGTTGGTATCTGTTCTGCTCAATATCTCAGGATGCGGTTAAGATTAAGAAACAAAATTTGGCATATTGGCTCGTATATGAAGGGCATTGATACCATTAACCTAAGTTTGGTGGTTAAAAGACAAGGGGTGAAAAGATAGCATGCGGTCATATGACATATCTAGAGAGAAGGAATAATTGAGGATTTTATTCGTTATCATCATTTGAAATTTTCTTTTACAAAACTCATCTGTACCCTCAAAGTTAAGCGTTTCACCATTTTACAATAATTAAAAATATAGAAAATTTTTATAACAAAATATCATAACAGTTATTTACTATTTCACAACTTATTTATTATGATTAATAATACAAAAATGACTTTAAAATAAAATCTCTTAACAGTAAAGTTAAGTAATTTGTTGCTAGATTTCTTATTCCAGAGTTGGCAGCATAGATGTTACATGTAGGCTACCCAAGGCCATATGCTATATTCATTTAATCTATGTGAGAGGGCAACATGACATACTGTATTGGAAACGTGGAAACATAACAATCCATTGAGAGTTTTTTGGGTAAAAGTCTCGTCATATATGCCGTAACATACAGTATTTAACAATTTCAATTATAAAATACGATATTAAAACCATAATATTTTCATTTTCAGAATGAATTTTTTAGTTGACTGCCCTATGAAATTGCATGATTATCCCATTGATGTTCAGATTTGTCAGTTTTTACTTGGTGTAGGTAAGTCATTCACCCTTATTTTCAAATAATTAAAAATATTTACATATTTAAAATTAATTTTACTTTTCCGACTGTTATGGAAAAATATTGAAATTCTGTCAAACTTGACGGTCCGGGTGTTTTGCAAATTGACGAACGTAATTTGTCGTTGTAACTTGTGCATAAGGAGTGATAATTGATATTAAATTTTGATGATAGAAAGTCGAGGGGTGGAGAGATAGAGGGTGGCACATGTGGCATCTCGNGTATTTCCTGTTAAACAAAAGGGTAATCCTTCACTTCATCTGTCAGGTCGTCTATAATAGGTATGACAATCATCACAGGAAGCAAACTGCACTCTTAAAAACACGTGGACCGACATAGCCCCTGTTTCTGTCAAAAATGTAATAGTACGATTAGTAGAGAGATAACATTAATGTGTGTGCGAGCACACGCAGGAACACGACTTACACGTGATCCACGTTTATCTCCTCACCTCCTTCATTTCCGTATTGTAAACATTAATACCACCAATAATTCTTATACACACTTAAACGAAGGACTTCCGCCGTGCACAGAGTGTTTAGCTGGCGGAAAACGGGGGCGGAAAAGGAAGAGGAATGAGGGAGAGGTATTGACGTGCAGTTTTAGGATATAAGGCCGTAGACCCCCGAAAGGTCTAAAAGAAAACCGGCATAGCGAAAACCGAGTGTAGCGAACACCAATAATTGACTGCCTCCGCAATAAGCTAAGAGTACGTATTAGTGTTAAGTGGCTGTTAGTAGAAGTACTTATAAATCGTTAAAACTAAATTGAAACTGAACGCTAGCACGAATCTTAAGTCTAACTAACTGCTAAACAAACAGCGCGAAAGAAACAACCGAAGACAAAAACAAAACAGACTACACGGATGCACCGACAAAAGACAAACGAGCAAGACCCCAATTTTTTTTAGTAATTCTTATACAAAGAGTTACCGTGCCAAATTTCGTTTCTTAATCTTTACTCTATCCTGAGATATTAAACGAAATAGACACCTGCACGTATGGACGTAAGCACACCTACAAGGAAGCTCGCACACAGATATCCTGGAAATATTTCCTTTGTTCTTCTTACTTTTTTGGCTTTAGTGGGTCGATATTTCCAAATGACACGGTGAATGAAATAGACAAGATTACAATACTTTCTCCTATTACGTTGCAGTATAACAGCGTGGAAAATAAAACTACCCGATAAAATATCCTGACGTTCTATAAAGATTGATTTAAGTTCTTGCGTGCAGCATCTAACGTGCAGGAAAATGACCAGTTTGACGTCATATCTATGCTACGCAACGCATTGAGAAGTTCGCTGCACGCTAGAGATTACACGCGAATTTAAATCCATTTTAACGTTCAAGAATTCCAATTACGACACAAAAGGGAAGCCGTAGCAACCAAAAAATTTATAGAATACGACATAGTGTGCCTCCGTCTCTTAATTAAGCTTTTTATATCTGATCTCGAGTTTCAACTATCTAATTCCATTCTCGAGATTAACGAACGGCAGACACACGGAAGCCAGTGGAGATTTATAGCTCTTCAATTTTTTAATTGATGTCCAAGAAGTATAGTTCTTTTTAAATAAAACCTATACAGTAATAATATTATGTAAATCAAGTACTTTTATCCCTCTTTCCTAGTAAAAATTTGTTATAATTGAAGGTCCTAAAACTTCTAAATTTGTAAATATGTAAAACACTATATGACATAATTCTATCGATAGTTTTTCTGTATACATTACATTGAAATGTTTAGATATTAAAAATTTATATTTCTAATTTAAATTCTTATTTATTTTCAGAAAAAAGAAACTCGAGTTTATTCGATAGCTTCCCATCCGAAGGAAAAGAAACCGGGAATGATTCGTAGATGGTTGTGGCACATAAATGATATAAAGAACACTCTGATTGACTCAAAGCACGTAAATCCTTACGATAAAGTTTCCAGATATATATTTCCCTTCGCATTTATGAATTTTGCAAGCTTATATTGGATATATTATCTGGGCCCAATGAGATATGACCATGAAAGAGTATGAAAGTTTTCTCCTAATACTGTCAAACTTTTTAACTGTTCAACTTTGTTATTTAATTCCTTACAAATCTCGTAAAAAAGTTACAATGTTTAAATAAAATTTAAAAACGTATAAAGCCTTTATCCACCGAAAACATTTTTAACATTCAAACAGATTACATACGTAAAGACAAGTAACAAGATAAATAATTGCGATAAGATAATTGAGAATTTTTCACTGCAAAGTTGATTATAAAAAAGAGAAATTCTGTACTTTTTAGCCGGTACGACTATTTTTAAAGGAAAAGTATGATACACAGGGGCAAGCCACTACTAATTTGATGTGGAGAGCATATATTTTAAATTCCATAAATTAAGAATATGATTAAAAATTGCAGCTCTGCATTGTAACCACGTGACAATAAATATTTGTTCGTTCATATTATTTTTATACTTACAAAGGCAATTTCATTGGATAATTATTCAATAAAATTTTTATAAAAATACACTTTTATTCTACTTTATTTATTTTGTTTGAAAAGAAAGGAAATTAAAAATATAAAAATAAAATATTTATAATAAAGAGAAATTTTACAATTCGTTCCTGTAAAACTTTTTTTTTTCGGAAACACAATAAATCTACTCGTGTATTCATATTTCATAAACAACGTTTCAAACTATCTGCAATCGATTTCCATCATTCAATGTCGTGTTTTAATATAAAGAATTAAATTACCAATCGCCTTCGTCGCTAAATTTCATTAAGTAAAATTACCTTAAACCTGTGTTTAATAATTAACTACATGAATATATTGCATTACCTCAAATTAATTAAAAAAGCCAGAATGTCAAGTTCGATCCATCAATTTAAATATCTTGTTAGGTTGCGTGTCCATAAGGATCAATAAGTGTAACATCTGTATTTTACTTCTCATTATTATATATAAGCTGGCTTTTGACGGGATGGTCTCGCCTGTTTTCGTCATGATATTTGCCTTGACGTTACTCTTCTCTGCCACTTTCACTTCCCTCTTAGTTACTTGCTTGCGGTAAGATACTTATTCATTTCGTTAATTTATATGTAAAATAATTCTTTAAAGTAATATACATGCTGTAAAATGGTAATTATCGATTCATTTAAGTAAAATTAGCGATTTAAATGAATTATTATATCTTTCTCGGCTTCCCTGATATTTTATACAATTATATGATCCGGATAATTTCTATTTTTGGAAATTAAATGGATCAAATAATTATAATTTTTACAGCGGCAGGAGGATCCGGACTCGAATTCCTAGTGGTTTTTGTCCACTGGAACAAAAAACACTAGGAATTCTTCATGGGTGGTCTGCTTATATCATGTCTTATCCTTATCACTCGGGCGCGTGACTCATTGAGGGTCTTAAGGCCTTTTTAACATTATCCTAATTAACACAACTGAACAATTCTATTCTTACATTTCATGTCTGGTCTTGAAATCATACATTATTATTATTTTTAAGTGAAGCAGAAGATAAGAAAATTATTCCCGAAGGTTACAATCCTGACGTTCCACCAATGATTAATAGTGAGTGCAACATTAAATTTAATTAAGAAATTTTCTAGAAATGTTTACTTAATTCAATGAATTTTAACTTATATAAACAAATGTATAAATTTTAACAAGAACATATGACAATTATACCTATGAATGAAGATAAAATTACAGTTTATCTTTACTCGTACTCTGTGAGCAAGTGTTACAGTACACAGTATTTAATTACAGCACACCAGTGAACGAGTAGATGAAACCACCGAACACTGGTAGTCGGTGACGGGTTCGCGTCTGGCCAACGTGGAGTTTTCACGTTTTTGTTTTTTACATTTCGCTTCCAAACAACAAGCTTACACGTGGTTGCGGAATTGTGAGTGAAGGATTCCAAAATTTCCAGGTCAATATCCAAAAAGGAATTCTCCAGAAAATATTAATTTTTAATATCCTGGACCAATTTAATATAAAAGACCGGCCGCGAATAATAAAACCGTAAACGATTATCATAACAAAAGTACCAAATAAACTAATGTCCATGCTGAAAATTAAGAAATTTCTAACAATATACCTCCCTGAAATGAAATAAAAGAAAGCAGATGGTATAAAAACCCGATAATAAATAAATAATAAGAAAACAATCAAATCAAAGTTTAACAGAAACGATTATATGAGGCTAATTTAAGGTACAGTACATAATGTATGATGGCCTCAACAGGAACCTTCTCAATGATAATATGCATAACACCACCGTTTTATCCAGAGTGCAAAATGTGAAAGAAATTCGGCTTAAATTCAAGTAGAGTGGGAAGAGGGCGGAATTATTCTACAAGGGAAGATTTTAAATTCTTCTGTAAATTTATTCCCTGAAGGACCTAAACACTATTTCTGGTTTTACGTGATTTTATTAGAGATTTATAATCGGTTTAACTGATACTTTATGACACTATGTGCAATAAGTAAATTTTAATGTACTGTACAGCACACATTGCTGATAGAAACTGTAATGTTTGTTTGCTAAAGACAAATAAATACTATGTAGAATCTGTCCGCGATGTTTGCTCGCATTATGTTTATATTCCTTTGGACGCATGTTGTACCACATTGTACACACCATTTATTAAGCATTAGAGTAGTGATATAATATTTTATAAATTTAAGGTTTCCAAAGGTTTATCAGTTTCAATTAATTGTTTAGGTGACTATTGGATGAATGGATAGATTAAAATACGCAATCTGTCAAGAGTGCCTCCAATAAAAAATTTATGAAATAGTGATCCTTATTTAGGTATTATGCACGTGAAAAAAAATCCGGGAAATTGCACGTGACCAGACGATGGTAAGGCGAGAACGCGCGACTAGGGTTCAGTGGCTTTATCCACTCGGTCACTTTCTATTTTTTTTTTTTTTTAAATAAGTACAAGAAAAAAAGAGGATAAACCTAAAAATTTTATAAATCATTTAATTTTATGATATATTTTAAAAAATAAAATGTTAAAAATATGTTCAAAATTACAGAAAGTATCTTATAGAAATAAAATTACGTTAAAACTAATATTATTAATACATAAAAATACAAGTAACCTCATTAAGTATTATCGTTTATTATAATTTAAAGAAAACTTAAAATTTTAGAATTAATACGAATTTATTTTTTATTAATTTATAATTTTTTTCTAGATTTACCTTCATCGATTTATATTGCATGCCAAATACTCGGAATCGATCAAATAAATGAAGATACCATGGTGAGTTCAAACAACGTGTTTTTTTCATTAAATAATAACGATGTAAATAAATAACGCATAAAATAATTCGTGAATTTAAAGTTTTATTGTGATTTTAATATATTTTTCCAAATTAAAAATTGTTAGCAGCGTGTATTTCTACGTGACAAGTACTTAAACAAGCGAACCAATGATTTAGTCTGTTTCATTTGAAATGGACTATACTATTGATTTGTTTTACTGCTGTTTGTCACATAGAAGTACCCAAAATGGCAATTTAAACTCTTATTTTTCTTTTTTGAATAAATGTTAAGATACCTCATAGTTAAGTTTAGTTTATTTATATACGACAATGCGACACGTGGGCGAGCTTTCGAGGGGGACCTCTCAAATGCTCTTTTATGGGAAATTGGCCTGTATTTAGAAATGTGAATAAAACCTTGAATACTCCACGTGACAGCCTGTTTATCAGGCACGAACCCACGAACAACTATCAGTGCTCGGAGATTTTAAAATATCTCATAATTACCACAATAACACGATTCCTGTACCGAATATTTTGAAGTGTCGATGATACTATTTTATTTTTTTCTTTCCTAAAGTTTTCTAATTTGGAATTTAGAAATTTTAAAAAATTCCTAAAACTTTCCTAAATATTTATTATCATTATTTTTTTCAAAATTCATAGAAAATTAACGAATTCTATTTTCAAAATTCTGAGTTGCACGTTTATAGAATAATTAAATGGGATTATAACAGCAAAAAAATGTTTGGTTGTATCGGCTTCTGTTTTCCAGAATTTTTGGAAATGCTTTTTCCCATTAAAAAAACATTTACATTTTTCACGCCATTTACTGGAGATCGTGTGTGTAACTAAGGAGGCTCATCAGTCTTAAAGTAAATATTTGAGGAGGCTCATTTTGCCTAACCGGCATCATCTTTCGTAACTCTCATAAATAAATAAATAAATAAATAAATTTTTAAAATGTATTAAAAATTTACTATTACTATTCTTTAGGAGTTTCCATTTTGCATTGAGTGTTCTTTTGCAACTACATTTGCACCTTGTTCTCTTTCTATTGTGTCTTTTTTGTCAATTGTTTCCTCTTCGTGCTTTTCATTCCTCCTTTACTCCTTGACCTAAAATATAATTATTTGTTATCTTAAAAAACACAGATTATTAATTATTTGTAAAGTAGCTATTACAAGAAGCAAACTCGAGTATTCGTACAATACAGTGGGCTCAGATATAGGAGAAGCATGGTACTTTCGAACGGACTCTATACACAGGTGGCATTCCAATTTATTATTTTCACGTGGATAAAATCGATATTTCTTTTATGCATGTTGTTCCTGAACAACATACAAAAACAGAATCTAATTAATAAAGTGAATTAATTGATTGCTGTGGAGGATGATGAGGATAATTTCTATCGTCTTTACAATACATCTAAGGGCAAACGTGATTAAATTTTGAATTTGTTTATGCTTATCGAGGAAAATAAAGATGGAAATAAAGTTCAATATGAACAGATTATGCAGAAATATGTTTATCGAGTTTCAGAGTGGAGAGGTGTAGGGGGGTGGAACATCCTCTGAAACATCACGAAATGCATTGTCATCAGACTTAAGTGTAGAATTCTCGAAATAAATACGTCTTCGTTGTAGTGAATTCACACCTTCCCTATAGTAAATATTTTAACATTATTTTGAAGTACCCTGTACTGTCTGTAAATTCATATCATTTTTCAAAATTTGCCCGTGAAAATTTAAATCTAAAATTAAAGAAATTTATAGTTAAGTTCATTTTTTGAAATCCCGATTTATTTTTTTATCATTCACAGCGAGGTAGAATATACTGCATAGAGTGGCTGAAGCTACGCCATGTTTAAGGAAAATTAAATACACGTCCGCCATTTTCTTTTTAGTCAAGGGGCGGGGCATTTGTGTTATGTAGAGGAAACGAGGTGGAATATTCCAATTCCTCGATAGTGTCCGTCGTTGCCTACAAGAGCGCTGTAACTATAGTAACGGCCAATCTACGATGTATATTCTAGCTCGTTGATTATTCATTACTGCTTCGACATGACATATACAAATAATGAACAGCAGTAAAAAAGTACACCAGCAGTTAGTATTGATTTTTTCGTTTTTCTTTATTCTTCCCATCTATTTCTGTAATAATTAATGATTTTCCCTTTATATAGAATCATAAACATTAATTTTAGTGTAAAATCTTGTTACTCTCCCGGGAAAGTATTGTAAACGTGCCAAATTTGAGCCTCTGGATTTTTGCAAACCCCGACATTTTTAACCTCTGAACAAAAAAAAAATCAACGGGAAAATTCCGTAGATATGTAAATGTGTGCGTGCATGTGCGTATGCGTGTGTGGGCGTCCATTTAATTTAATGTTCTCAGGATGGGGTAAAGATTAAGTAACGAAACTTGTCATGGTAAACTGTATATAAAGGAATTGATGTTATTAAATTTTAGAATATGTAACTCGTGGGAATAATACCATGATACTAACTCAAAGTTAAAATTGCGTGTAGCGCCATGTGTTATAAGATGTTATTAAAACTAATTTTTAAAATATTAATTATTGTAAAAAGGTAAAACAGGCGCAATTGTGAATGCCAGGTTGCAATTTTTAACCATATTTTTAATAATATTTTAATTTAAATTATAGCCTCTCCACCTCAAATTAGTATTGTTTTTGTCCCTGTACATCATACTTTTCCTATTAGCAATAGAGTCGTGCGGATCATCTATCTAACACCTCTTAGGAAAACATATTTGAATTGAAATGACGTGACTTTCGGTTTGTACCAGAAGTTCTTAGATAATTAATCGGAACAATCTGCCCCTGTTATTTCTATATCTGGTCTCGTTCTTCATCTCTCTCTATAACTCGTTTTCGAGATTGAGGAAAGACAGACAGACGATTGTGGGAATTTATACGTCTACAGTTTTTTCAAATTGAAGCTCAATGATTTATTACGGACAGTAAACAGTAGGCATGAGAATAATACTTGTCATTTTTATACAGTATTTTATTACAAAAAAGTAATAAGTAGTAGCACATGCACAAATTCTCGCGGCTATATTTTGCTCTAGAATGGATCCTGATTAAAATGTATGTGTATTCGTATAGCTTTGAATCCCAAATGGTGTTTCGTGCTCAGTTGGAGCGATCGAAAATAAGCGATTTTTACTCGCAGAATAGATCATCCTGTCAAAAGAGCTCAGATATATTAGCACAAAACTAATCTTTTGCCTTTAACCATCTGTTATGAAACTTTTGTTAAAAAGTAAATTTTATTTATAATTCCCCTGCGTTTTGTTGAAAATATCGAAATTTTGCAGAAAGGTCTGTGTATTAGAGTGGTTAATGCGATTAAATTTTGGTAATTGAAGGTGGAGGGAGTGAGGAAATAAAGGGGTCGTGTGTAATAGGGTATCCAGTAGGGTCGGATTTAATGACGATTTTACTCGTTATTGGCATTTACAATTATTTATGAAACCCATCCCTCCCCACAAAATTACGCTTTTTGCCATTTTATAATAGTTAAAAATATAAAAAGTTATTTTAATAAAATATGATAACAGATGGCGCCAGCAAATGTTGCCGGAAAAGTTAAGCAACTCGCTGCTGGAATTTTTCTTTTTAATAGTTTCAAAGCCTTTCTAGTTTGCTAAGATAAATGAGAACTTAAAATTGTTTTAGGACTTCCATCTGATTTTGGGACTGATTGCAGTTTGGAAGGATCCGAGATTGAACTTAGACCATTTAGTTTCCAAATATCCCGTAATTTTTCCAAGTAATTTAGTAAGTAAAATCTGGAAACCAGACTTTGGATATCCAAATACGAAAAAGGTCGAAGCATTCGAAGAAACTTCAAAAATTTCCGTTATAAAAATTCTTTCTGACGGATCGCTATTTGCACCCATCAGGTATTTAATTAAAATTCAAACGTTATTACATTAAATATTGAAAAAAATTTTATATTTGATCGAATTTTGCTTCATTTCAATGCGGTTTCGTACGTTTTAAAGCCGTAATATTTCAAATTTCAGGATAAATTTTTTAGTCGACTGTCCAATGGAACTGCATAATTATCCGATTGACGTTCAGATTTGTAAGTTCTACGTTGGTTTAGGTAAGTCATTCATTATCCCTGTTGAATAATAGAAAAATGTAATTCCTTCTTTACTTATTTAATGTTTTATATATTTACTTTATAATCGATAATAAAATAATAAATTGTTCAACTTTCACTTATTTGCAATTTTCAATAACTCAAATTTTTAGTAATTCTTATTATGAAAATTTACGTTGAATTGTAAAAGCATTTACCTTTATAACTTTTTAATTATTTTTCATGTGTACTTCTTTTACGAATGTAAATAAAACGAAAGTTTACATTCGTTTTATTTATAGACAATTGTTTCCCATTTTTACCTTAATCTGGCCAATAGTTCTAATTAAATTAAACAAAACATATATCATGTGATCAATCAAACAGAGAAGGAATATTTAAATATTTGATCATAGATTGAATTGGGTTGACAAAAAGCAATTCAACACGTGGATGATGTACCACGGATGATGCCAACCAAATCTGTAAGGAAACTGGTCCCTATTTATTCGTTTTACACGTGAAAAAAATCTCGGGTAACTTTACGTGAAATACCCTTTAACGGAATTTGAATTTCATTGAATTACTGTATATGCTCGAAAAATTACATATTACCCGTATTTCTATTTATTCAAGTTATCATATTATTCAGTCACCGAGTATGCTTGAAAGCAAAGATTTCAAAAATATTTTAAGTATGCATGCTTTATTAATTCTGTACGATGCATTTCAATGACAGAGGTTATATGTGTGTTATAATGAAAACTGGATTTCAACGTACAATAAAATACTATACATTATAAATGAGAGATATGGTAAATTACTCCTAACAATTAAAACGAGAAAAGAGGCAATCAAGTTTTTTCTTATAAAAAACATGATCCAAGAACCCTACACTATTAACAACATGATAGTCAGGTTCAATGACTGTCCAGCTCTATCCAGTCTATCCAGCTCAGGACCCTGACTGTCGCATCAAGGCTGGTATTATCACCAGGAACAAAAACATTATTGTCTGCCTTGTCTCCCAACACACCACAAAATACATCACCACCGTCTGTGTTACAGACAATAACACTCACCTTTACATATGTTCCGTCTACATTCCAGATATCACTAACATTGGAACGGCCATAGAAGACATTCATCACCTCCTAAACTCATACAAAGATAAACCAATCCTAATAGGAAGTGACTTCAATGCCAGGTCGCAGACTTGGCATAGTCCAAAAGATGATCCTAGGGGTAACGTAGTTAACGAAACCATGGCCCAACACAACCTTACTCACTTGAACACCAGCACCCTTCCGACCTACTCCTGTACCATGGGGGAAGTTGATCGACCTAACGTTAGGAAACAGTCACATCACCCCTAGAGTCAACCACTGTTACACTACTGACATAGATTCTGCCAGTGACCATAGATATATCTTCACCGTACTGAACACTAGATATATCTTCACCGTACATAGCCAGTGACCATAGATATATCTTCACCGTACTGAACACTATTAGTAATACTAATAATCATAGTTTTCACTATACTCGCACTAACTAGCAATTATTCCGCGACATCTTCATAACATTTGGGCTGGTATCCCTCACCACAGTAACTATACTCAGGACTGCTTAGACCATCTTGTCACCAGGCTTACAAATACAATCACTAACTCTCACGTTATTGCCTCCGAGATCAAACATTGTAAACACAAAAAGGTTCCTTGGTGGACCACTGAGCTAGAAAACAAGAAAAAGTTGTTAGGAGATTAAGGAGGCAATTTAAAAATGAACAAGACTCAGACATTAAAGTCACACTTAGAGACCAGTACAGACACGAACACAACACTTACAAAACCCTTATAAATAAAACAAGGACTAAAGCTTGGAAGGATTTCTGTGCAAACACTTGCAGTCGCAATCCCTGGTCTTAACCATACTTCTTAGCTCGTCAGGAGATACGCCAGCTCCAAACCCCCTTCGCTATCCACCTCCCTGATGGCCGCTACACCAACAACACGGAAGAAACTATCACGCACATCCTCACCAGCCTTTATCCTTTGGATGATCCACAGCAGGATGAAAATACACAAGCAGTCATTCAGAGTTCTACACTCATATCACCTTATATAGACAATGATCACAACTTCACCTACATTGAGGTTTCGAATGCCATCTGTTCGCTTACCTATAACAAAGCCCCATGTCTTGACGGCATAATCACTAGGATGATACACGTAGGATAAAAACACGCGTTTGAGGCCAATCCTACAGCGTTTGTAGTTCTTTTCAATATCTGCTTGAACATTGGCTTTTTCCTACTCAGTGGAAAAAGGCTAGTGTGAAATTGATTCCCAAACCCACCAGTGCTAATACGTACAAAAAATACAGGCCGATCTACCTCCTCCCAACTCTAGGAAAAGTGTTAAATGATTAATAGGATCACATGGCATCTACGTAAGCGTAGAGCCTGCATCAAAATCAGTTCGGCTTCTATAAAAACAAAGGTACAGTAGATGCCATCCATCAGGTCGTTAATTACATCCACCAGGCTAAACGAAACAATCAGCATACCGCAATTATCACTATTGACTTTAGAGGTGCCTTCGATCTCGCCTGTTAACCTTTTATCCTGCACACATTACATGCTCATCACCGCCGTCAAAATCTTTACAAACTTCTTCAGTCCCATCTTAGCAACAGGAGTGCAAATGTTTATACAACACAAAATAACAGTCATTCCCATCACTCGAAGCTGTCCTCAGGAATCCAGATCCGGTCCTGGTCTCTGGAACATAGCCTATAACTATTCTGCACTTAAACGACACCCTGTCTCCTGGCTGCCGCATACAGGGCTATGCGGAGACACTATTATCCTAGCTTCACACAGGAACAGTGAACGCTTACAGGATGTATGCAACGACATTATCAATAACATTCATCAGTGGAGTATTAAGCATAGGCAACCCATTAACACAGACAAATGCGAAAGCATTATAGTTGGGAGAAACGCGCCACTCGTCAGGAAGCTTACCCTTCGAATAGGTGCTCACAATAAAGCAAACAACGGGAATTAAATATTTAGGTGTTATTCTTGACAAGAGACTTAACTTCACACCCCACATCAAATACATGACAAAGCTAAAAAGACGGCCAACGCTCTCATTAGTATTGCTAGGAACACATGGGGCCTTGGCCCTAACGCTACTAAGCTTATTTACAGGGGCGCAATTCAGCAAGCACTCCTCTATGCCATACAGGTCTGGGGCCATGTGGCCGCCAAAGTCCATAACCATATAAAACTGTTATCTGTTCAAAGGATTGCAGCTCTCCGCATTTGTAAGGCTTATACGATCGCACCCACTAGTGCCCTTTTGGTTAAGTCAGGATTGACCACTATCGACTTAGAAATTAAACGCATTATTGCCAAATAATGCGTTTAATTTTTGGCAGGAAAATCTCGTCACCTTACCCTGGCGAGATTATAGCGACTCGGATATCAACAAAATGATTAGAGTAAGTAAGATTTTCCCCAGTTTGACCTTGATCGATGATATCAAAAAATTCAGCATCGACAAAAATACCCTCTGGACTTATGATTACCACCCCTCCCATTAGCTTGCCCCTGACGTTTACTTCAAAGGTCCAGGTGATCATCCCGTGTTTAGGATTTACACTGACTGTTCCAAGATGAATGACGATGTGGGTGCCGCTTTTGTAGTTTACTCCGACTTAAGCCGAGCTTCACAACGCTTGCTTCCATCTAGGTACACACTGCTCAATAACAGAGACAGAAACTTTAGCTATTTATAAGGGCTTAAATCACATTAGGCGTAGGAAAAACAAAAGGCACTAGTTACACTATCGCATTTATTCTGACTGTAGGGTAGCTTTACACAGGTTTACGAAATCTGATAGCCGCTTAAACCTCGTCCATCTCATACACCACATTCTCAGACAACAAATTAGAATAGACAACGACATTAGAATAGATTTCCAATGGGTCCCGGGTCATGCGGGGGGGGGTTCTCGGCAACGAGACTGCTGACTGTCTTGCCAAACAAGATGCGAAGTCTTCAGTTCACTAGAACTTTCAGTTACATTCCTACCTCATACAGTACGTCAACAATCACGTCAAGAAGCAAATCTTCATTCTCTGGCAAGACAGGTGGGACCGTCACACCACTGGTAAGCTCACCTACACTTTTATTCCCAAGGTTGACACTACTGCGATTCTTCGCCTCTTTTACCTTAGTTTCACCCTCACTCAGCTACTTCCAGGACACGGCAACTCTAAGCAATACTTGCATAGACTTAACCTTGGGGACAATCAACAATGCAATTGTGGTATTCAGGAGGACCAAACACCACTTTACTTACAATAGGTACAATCACATTAAGGATAGTTTAATGGGAGCTGCTATTCTCGAAAGGTACAACTGGCCTTGCAACTCACACCAACTTATTCACACGCTAACAACGTTCCATCATCTACTCGCATTCATATCCCTTAGTGGGGCTCTTGAGAGCACTCACTTCGAGGGCACGGATGGCAATTACTTTTCCTTGCTTGTTTCAACTGTCGATATTTAGCTGCCTTTCAACTTTGTATTTTAATTCTTATTTTCTGTCTTCTTTTTTCAGTCTAAATTCCTAGTTGTAAGTTAGATTAGGGACTCTTAGCTTGGTTTCCGGTTAGGTTATGATAAGTTAGGTGAAATTAGACTAGAGTTTGTTAGCTTTAGTCGTCTGGTTAGGTTCTTCCTAGGTTATGGTAGGTTAGTTTAGTTACTGAGTAATTTAACGTTTAAAAAATTAATAAATACAAATAAAATAATAATTATAATAAATAAATTAATTAATTAAAAAAATTCGAAGTTTTGCACGTTTGTCTCTGTCGGTCCGTTCGTCCCGTTTAGTTTGTCGTTGTGTTTGTTTGTTTTCACACTGTCTTTCTAGCTGTTAATTAATTTAATAGTATTGAGATTCGCGCTCGCGTTCAGTTTTATTAGTACTAACAAGTAAGTAGATATAAGTTTTCCTACTAACAGCCACTTGGCACTAACTTCCACACTTAACTATTCGTGGAGGCACTCAATTATTGTGTTCGCTACACTCAGATTTTCTTTTAGACCAGTGATTCTCAAACTTTTTGGATCCACCGCCCCCTTTGTTCCATAAAGTTATACCCAACGCCCCTAACCCATTCTCTCTTGTGTGAGAAAAGGATTGGAAATATTCTTAGGAAAACTTTTCTATGAATCTCACACTTTGTGCCCTTACTGTACATTGTTCTCATCATCTGGAAACCATTAAATGCAATGTTTCCTCTTATCAGCCCCAATTTTGCCTTTGGTCACCGTTCAATACCCTGCCTCTATCATAGATCTATTCATCGCGCCAGAATGGGGCGTTATTGCTTACTTTGAAAAACGCTGAGCTAAAATAAAAGTCAATGTGTTAGAAATATTCAAGTTGTGACCTTCAATAAAAAATAAAAAATAAATAAAATGTCAACATTTTATATATATTCCGTCAAATTTTTATATATAGAATTTGTCTACGCCCCCCAATTCTCTTTGAGCCTTCTACTGCCCCCCTGAAAGCCTCCAGCGCCCACAAGGGGGCGTTATCGCCCACTTTGAGAAACGCTGTTTTAGACCCTTCAGGAGACTACGGCCTTGCAGCCTAAAAACTGCACCCCAACATCAAACATAGAGGGGAATGTAGCCTTATGTACGCCGTTCAGAGGGATACCACCTTTCTCTACTGTCTATCTCCTCTCACTCCTCTCACTCCTTCCCCTCTCCTTTCCATTACCCTCTTTTCTGCCGGCTAAACACTTCGTGTACGGCCGATGTCTTTCTTGTATATGTGTATAAAAACATGTTTATATTATAGTTACACATACAGATAAAGAAATCAGTTTAGAATGGATGGGAGAGAAGAACAGTCCTTACAAGCATCTTGGTAAAAGTATACAAGTCAGAAATATTAATCTGTTAAAATACGAGACGGATGATATCAGATCTAAAAAAGTTACACAGGTTTGGGTGAGCGGTAAGTTTATTATTATTATTTTGATTAATTGCAATTATTTTTAATAAATTCTTCTACTGGGACGTATATCCAAATTATTACCAAGTAATTAGTCGATTTCTGTAATTAATATTTGTATAGATTTAATATTTCATAATATTTAAATCAGGCATGGCCAACATACGGCCCGCAGGCCGGATCCAACCCGTCTAATGAATTTATGCGGCCTGCGATTAATCTTTTAATATTAGCAACTCAAGTCCGAATAGCTCGATGAAAAATTCTAACGCCTAAAAAAAAAAAACATGACAATGTGAAAAATGTATCTGCAATCTCTATGTACAATTTAGTCTCTACGGGGTGACACCACAATGAGATCTCGCACCACCTCAAAATCTTCCTAGGCCAGCCTCTGGTTCGGCCCGTGAAAAAAGTTTTTTTTCCAATTCGGTCCGGGGGCAAAAACTGTTGGCCACCCCTGATTTAAATGATTAATAATGCAGGATCAGAGCCGTGTGCTAGATATTAAAATAGTAGTATTTTACAATAATCATTTTTTATAACTTAGTTATTAATATTTACAATGCAATTATGTAGATTATATAATCATATATTTAATTTATTTAATTTTAAATATGCCCTGGGGTTTACTATTGTCTTGTCCTTGTACGTGATACTTTTCCTACACATTCACAAACTATAGTCTTAGTACAACTTAAATTGTATACTATATACAGTAAGACCCCGCTTAACAATGATTCTATATAACGCGGTCTCTCGAAGTCTAAGAAAAAGCTCAAAGTTTACTCCGATTTAAATTATCGCGGCATTTTATCGATTCGTATATAATACGATTATTTGCGAACACAAACCAATCAGCAATAGGTGGAAAAAAGGTGTACTTTCTTTTAATCTATGTTTGTTTGATGCAATTTGGAAAAAATATAACATTATGGATGCCATAGGCAATATCGACTTTATCGGTTAATTATTAACCGATTAATATCCAATTAACCGATTAGAATTAACCGATAAATTAACCGATAAATGCGCGAACGAAGTGTGGAAGAAGTTATGGCTGAAGGTATCCATGGATTCTCAACGAGAAGAGCATATCGCTGTATCGTTAGGTTGGCTGTATCGTTAAGTTGATCAAATTGTCAACCTAATCGATACAGCAGGACAAGGAGATGCAGACGAACAGGATGTTGAAGAGTTACTGCAGGTTTCTGGTGAAAGTCTTATCAACGACGACCTTCAAGAACTGGCAGAACACGGAATCTATGTAGAACTAGAAAGTAATGATTCTGAGAACGAAGAACCCAAAAAATTTCTCTACAGATTTCCTTAGTAAAAGTTTGGTAGCGATAACAGAAATCGTTGATCAAACTGTAGTGAATGATCCAGATTTTGAAAAGAGTGCAAAAGCAAAACGAGGCATTTTGGATGCGATCTTCTGCTACCGAATTTGCTTAACGAAAGAAAAAAAAAAGCGAAAAATGAAACTTCACGATTTTATTGCAAAAAAACAAAAATTTCAGAAAAGTCAGGATATTCGTCACAAAAAATGAACTATTAATGTAAAAAAATGAACTATCTAATATATTATACACTAGCAGACCCCGCCACGCGTTGTTGTGGCTCAAAATGTATCTACAGTATTATAAATTTATAACACTTCCCCGTGGGGGGAGATTTTTCGAAAAATTTCTTCTTAGTGTACATTCTGTTGACGTGCCCTATTAAAACGCAAAACACCGCATCTAAAATAGTATAAATAGAAGCAGAGTTCTTTACGGTAAGCCTTAATCCTAACCATCTCCCTTCAGTGGGGTTGAATTTCGACATGTATATTATATAAAAACACGTGCGTATTCAAATGCAGCGTTGTGTCAAAATTTCAAAGGAATCGGTAGGAACAAACNAAAATATTCACAATTTTATTTAAATTATTTCAGGTAACTTCACTGTGTTAATTGCCGAATTTAAATTTAAACGACGTTTGACCGGTAACATGATGAATGTCTACATCCCTAGTACACTAGTAGTCATGCTGTCATGGCTCTCATTTTGGATCGACGTCCACGCAACACCCGCACGCATCACTTTGGGTGTGACTTCAATCCTGACTTTAGTCACTCATTTGGTACAGTCCAGAAGCTTCGTGCCTCCTGTGGATTATTTGAAGGCTCTGGATGTTTGGTTTATATTCTGCATCGGTGTTATATTTTTATCGTTGCTGGAATACGCATTCGCTTATCAATCCGTCATCAATGTAAAAGAGGTAAGTAAAATAAACTGTTTCCAACTTAACATTCAAATATGAAATAAAACAGTTTAAAATGCAGGCCTTAAACATTTTGTCGTGTAAAGAAAATAGTTTTAATTAATGAACACCATTATTGCTCACGTTTTTTGAGATTGGGGTGAATGATAGTGAGTTGACATCACCATTATCATATAATGTACTTCACTGCAATGCACTTTTCGGGCAGACATGATTAAATATTACACTTGGCTACATTTAACATTCGGAGTGGTGAAGTACATCATTAAATATATTGTCTTGGCAGTTTGATGTGTCCTCAAAGATTCGATCTTCTATTTTAATTAGAAATGAACATTTGAGCTACATGATTTGAAGATTTTATTCAAAGCAGGTTATTAAATAAAAGCGTTTAATAATAACAACATCGTATGACTCGTTTTTCATCGAGCTGATAGCTCATATTATATAGTATAGGTTGTTCCACTCGAAAGTACTCAATTTTAATTCGCCATAAAAAATGAATGGTTTAAGATATATAAAAGCAACAAGTGGCATCGGGTGCAGAAACTCATCACGTTTTATAAATATTTTTTCCATGCTGCAAGATGAGGCAAAAGCCGAATTTTTAGCATTTCTGTCCAGTCATGGCTTCGCCACAGGAGAAAGCGCAAGTCGTAGTCTGGTATGCCATATAGCGTAGCCACTAAGATCTTCTGATATGACATGACCTCTTTAATATTTTTTCTGTGAAGTTACGTGTAAGATCTGGTTTATGCATGTTTGGTTAGAGACCTTCAAGCTACAGCGTACATAGCAAGAAATTGCCTACCGTCTTTATGTTGTCACTGTGAATATTAGAAAGCATATAGGAATGTGGTGATTTTTTCGTGAAATTTAGTGAGTTCTTCTCTCATACGAAATTTTTGTTGAACTTATACCTACAATTGTTAATTTTTTATACCTACATTGAATTAGATACTTTCGTGTGGAACTCCCTGTACATATAATTTCTAATAAAATCTATTGATTACCTTGTATTTCCGTTATTTAGAATATTTTCATTGCAGTTATTAGTACCGTTTAATTTATTAATAATTTAATTATTTGAAATGTAAAAGAAATATATTTAAAATCAGTAGTACCGTTAAGTTACAAGGTGCATTATTCTGTTATACTTTTTTAATCAAATTTCATACAGCTGAATAAGCAAACCAATGACAAGCAACTCGTTTCATATTGGTTTGATTATTGAGCTGCATGAAAACTGTTTTACCGGGCAACTCACCCAATGAGAGCATTATACTTATAAAATATCCGCTGGAGAAAAATTTAGTTCTAAAACTCACCACTTTGGGACTTTCGGCGTTGTGAGTGCCAGCTAATTAAATTTCAGATCCTATAAAGTAATTAAATTATCCTTTTTCCTTTTTAAAATCTTTAAAACTTCGACAAGTAAAGCAGATTTTAAACTACAATATTTATTTATTTATTAGTATTTTGAACAATTATGTATTAGACAGATTTGATTAATTCTTAGAACTATTTTTTTTGTAGATGTTATCTTAAAATATTCAAAAAATTAAAATATATACTTATTACTTGATATTCTTTTAGGAAAAAGAAGTTCAAACTCCTGCATTGGAGTCAGATCAGAAGAAAAAGAAATTATCTACAACAGTTAAAGGATGGATGTCACACTTGAAAGATATAAAGAACACTCTGATTGTGTCAAAGCACGTAAATTCTTATGATAAAGTGTCCAGATACATATTTCCCTTTGTATTTATAAATTTCGTTAGCTTCTATTGGTTATATTATCTGGGTTGCAGATATACTCATTCAGAAATGTGACTATGACAAAGTAAAGTAAACATTTCAGTTACTTTAGAGGTTTTTGGTGGTGATTTAGTAGTTATAGTACTTTCAATATTTTAACCAGCTAAACTTTCCTTCTATCATCAATTTAATGCAATATGATTTACTTGAATATTCTTCAAAATAGTTGCTTGATTTGATATCATGTGAGAAAGTTTCTTCGAAATTAAAAGAAAGAAAACCACCATTAGATGATTTAATGGTGCTTATGTTAAACTATAGAAAAATTTACACATTTTGAAAAAAAATATTTATTGGCAATTAACTCAATAACGATTACACTTTTGTCTTGTATGTAATCACCATCAATACCAATCATATCTGCCACCTTTTCTGCAAACGTTCGATCACGTGAGCTATAACGGGGTTTTACTTCGAAGAAAGTCTCGAGCGTCGTTCACGCATGAGTATTGTCATTGAACTGTGTATTGCCAATATGGCGCGAAATAGATCACAGTCAATTGGCACCAAGTATGGCCAGTAAAATGCATGAGACAGACAGCCCGGCTTCTTTAATCTTTGCTTTATGTGCTGACGCGTTGTTATGATGGTATCAGACTTTGTCAATTTTTGACGTGTATGGGAACACTCAAATTGTGCTAATTCTCTGGTGATCAACCGTAGAGTATCCTCTATCAGTTTCAGAACGTTATCATCAATGGTGCAATCGCTGTTTGGATATCTAGCCTCGAGTCCGATTCGATTGTGAACGTCACCTGGTACCAACTAGTTTAGTAAATGGTCTCCGAACGAACTGATACTACGTGATGTTCTCAACACGTCAGTGCTGCTACTTACATAATTCGAGGCTAAGAACTCAGGATGACGTCCATCTTGAAGCGATGGAAATCTCCAGATTAAAATTTCTCGAACCAATTATAGTGGGTCTTCCTGTTGACAATGTCCTCTCCAAATTGCCTTGTAAATGAGATCGCGAGCTTCATTGTGCCCACTAAATTACAGAGCAACAACAGAGAATCGTTCATTCGAAACTTCCATATTATCAGACACGGTTTATAAGACTATTTCCAATAAAACATGACAAAATGTTCTCTGGTTACGCTACTTAAATACCCACATCGAACGTTCCAGAACATTTTTTCCAGTCGTTTCTAGAGAAAATCAAAATGTCTAAGTTTTACCTTTGCAATCTGTAGCTATGTTATTGTGGATTATCTCGATTTTTCTCTAATTTCAAATAAAATTATATTTGTATATATAGTAAAAATGCAAAATTTTAAAAAATTTAAAAAATGTTCAAGTCACATAATTGGTTTTAAATATTTCAAAGAATACTAAAAAATTATTCACATTATGATAAAGTACAAATAAAGGTTTGTTGTAAGATGTGTAATTCGTCAAATATCGAATTTTTTCGGCATAACATGAACCTGTAAATTATTTACATTGTTTACTGTTGATGACAAAATATTATTTGCTTTATACAGTATATATTTATTCTTCCATCAAATTCCAATCAATACATACTGTACATAAATATAGATGTAATTTTTAGTATAATTTTCTGTAAACGGATATTAATTAAAACGTTTGCTATTTAATCTAATAGAATGTATTGGTTGAATAGTTGAAAGAGGAAGTATAGAAATCAGAATGCCAGAATGAGTTTGGGTCGATCCAGATATTTCCATGGATGAATTGATCCGGATATATCGAGTACCGTCCTTTACCAATAGCTGCCATTCATTGTGATATACAAAATAACCTTCATCTTAATTGCCCAAAGGGAAAAATCTTTAAAATATTTACGTCTGATAACAATGCAAAACAAACGTAATTTATATTAACGCATTGTAACATCAGTAATTGTTTCAACAATTGACAAGAAAACAAGCCATATTGTTCGCATCTGCTTTCTGCCAATATTTTAAGTAACTGTGAGTGCTCAATACATTTTTATTTTTCTGAGATAAAAATTACAAATTAAATAATATTGATTTGGGATTAGCGTATACTAAAGCGTTAAGATCTGAAGAAGCTTCTCGGAAGTTTTCGTCGAAATACCATTAAATAATAATTATGGCAGCACCTCCTATACCAGAATCCAACGCTGGTTATACTGTAGACTTAAAAAACCAGAAAGAAAATTCCACGAAGTTGCATCGTGCATGTTGGTTGGGTAACGAGAGCGATGTTAGAAATTGTTTGAAGTCAATGCCGTTGGATAGCAAAGATGATGAAAATCGAACTCCGTTACATTTGGCAGCAGCAAAAGGAAATATTGCAGTCATTGAAATGCTGCTTGAAAAAGATCCCAACGTAAACGATCAGGATATCAACGGGAAGACTCCATTAATGAAAGCCATTGAGGGTCATCACGAAAAAGCCGTACATTTACTGATCGAAGCAGATGCAGAGGTTAATTTGAAAGACAGAGGAGGAAATACAGCCATTCACATAGCGCTCAATACTGGGCAATACGATGTTGCACAATATCTGCTTCAATATACAACTGAAGATAATATTGGTAATAAAGACGGAATTACTGCACTTCACATCTTAGCCGAAACAAAACGCGTGAAATTAGCAAGAAAGTTTATACATCATGGAGCTAGTGTGGAATCAAGAGATAAAAACCTGAGAACCCCTCTCATGCTCGCTTGCAAGAAAGGTTATTTTCCAATGATATCACTTCTTCTGAAGAACAGGTCAGATGTAACTGCAGAAGACTCCAAGGGGTGGACTGCTATTGATTATGCTTCGATTGTGGGACATACACAAGTAATAAATATTTTAGAGCAATATGCTAGAAGTGGTATAAAAAGTACATTTACTGTAGAAAACGAATCTGAGAGTAGCACAACTACAGATGAAAGCGAAGAGACTGAAGATATAAAACGTAAAAGGAAAAGAATGCATAAATCTCCATCCGAAAGAACTGTTCCTATTCTATTAGAAACAGATGAAGTTTTATTTCAGAGAGAAAAGGCTAAGAAACGGCATCACCATAAAAAAGGAGAAAAATATGAATCAGAAATAAGCAACCCTAAATCTACATCGAAATTAGGCGAGCGAAAGCTCGAAGATGAGGGGAAAACAGGTCAACCTTTATCTGTTCCAGATATTGTAGCAGCTATGCAGATATCTGCTAATCAGTTGGGAGATATTCAGTCATGGCTCAATCGTCAACAAGAAATTGCTGAGAAAAAAAGAGTGCAATGCGAACAGTTAAAAGAACATGTTAAAAGACTTTTAGCCGAGAAAGAAGAACTAATAGCTACTAAAGAAAATCTGAAGAAGAATATCACAAAACTGAAGGAAAGTTTTCAGAACGTTGCTAGTAAAACAGAAGCTGAAGTTTTACAGAATGAATTGAATGCTTTAAGAGAAGGCTTGGACGACTTGCAAACAGAACACAATAGGGTTCAAAAAGAAAAAGAGGAACTAGAACAAAAGTTCGACGAGCAACAAAAGATTCAAAAAAAATCAGGTGCGGCCCTAGCAGACAAAGCAGAACAATTAAAAAATGAAAATCAAGCCCTTCGAGATAACTTAGTTAATGTTGAAAATGATACGCGAACAATTATCGAGGATTTAAATAAAAAATGCAAAATGGCAGAAGAGTTAGTGAATCATTTGAAAATTTTGTTGAGAGGCACTTACAAACTGTTAGAAGAAAAGCACACACAGATAAATAAAGTTATGGATGAATTAATAGTAGAAGAAAACCTAATGAACGACACCAAAGAAAGTTATGAGCAAGTCAGAGAAGAGAATGTGCAAGTTGGAAAAAATATTGATGAACTGGGAACGAAGATGGCTTTGGTGAAAAAATATTTAACAAAAATCCAAAAACAGATGGAAAAACAGTCACTGATGAAAAAGCTTGTGAGTGCCGGTGTGATGAATGAACAAGGTGAAGATATAAAAAAAACTGCCGTTCAAACAGAAGAGATGAGGAAAAGCGTTGGGCCCTCAAAGCAGAAAGGGGAATCAGAAGAGTCTAAGCAGAAAAATAAACTGAAAAATATAAGAATTAAAGATAAAGAAGTCGACGAATTGGAAGTCGAACCAGAAATAAAGGAACTAGCAGCTCAGAAAATGGATCCTACAGGCTTAATGTTTGCAAACGTGGATGCTCCAACAGTATGCAAGACATCAACCAAAGCCGTTCGATATTCGTGGTTAGATGAAAAAGATGAGGATGCATTGGAAGATTTTGATCTCTATCGTAAAAACTATCCTTCTGCTAAAACATCAGCTCTTCCTTATGGCAACAACGCAAAGAATTCTGGAAGTAAAACAGGGGCCAATGCTCATGACGAAATACCAGCTTCTCTGCATGCCAAATTGGCTTGCGTCATTGCTAAATACAGCCATTGTGACGAAAATGACGAAGAAACATCATAAATTCTCGTAGAATTTAATTAAAATCTAAATTATTAAAATTAATTTAGCATTTATCAAAATCGAAAAATTATTGAGATTTGTAAAAATAAAATAAATGAAATAAAAATTTTTAAGTAGTTAATCATTTTATTACACCAAAGAAATTTGATGAGCAAGTATTTACTATGACATCGTCACAATACCGGACCGCAATTTTTAATCATACTTTTAATTTATTTAACTTAAAATACATACTCTCCGCCTCAATTTAGTAATGTCTTGCCCCTATACATCATATTTTTCGTTAGCAATGGAATCGTGCCGGTCACCTATCTAACTCGTTTCAGGGAAAAATTTTTGAATTAAATTCACGTGACTTCTGGTATAGCTCAAAAGTTCGGGAATAGTTAATCGGGGTCACCTGCCTCTGACCTTTCTATATCTAATCTTGACTTTTATCTAACTAATACCTTTCTTGATATTAAGGAAGGACAGACAATGAGAATTTATAGGTCTACAATTTTTTCAAATTGCATGCAAAAATTACGTTGCTCATCTTATTGATCGTGGCATAACAAAATAAAATTGGCCTAATCTCTAAAAATTCAATTTATTTCTTCAGTGTTTAGTGTTTACCTTCGAACACAGATGCCGCCACTTGTTTATGTATTTCCTCAAAACACTTTGTGAAAATTTTAATATTATGAATAGAAAAACGAGCTCGAGTTGTATCAGTGCTAAAGAAGAAAAAAGTTTCCTTTTTTAATTAGTCAATGAAACTTCCATTAGAGTTTCAAATGAGAATTTGTGTTATAAATAGGAATATTAATAGTTAAACATCGTCATGTTTTTAATTATACTTTAAATAATTTTTAATTTAAAATATATGCTCTCCATCTCAAATTAGTAGTGTCTTTCCCCTGTACATCATACTTTTCCATTAGCATTATAATCGTGTCGGTCACCTATCAAACTCGTTTTAGGGGAAATTTTTGAATTGTATTGCTAAAGGAAAAGTATGCTACATAGGGTAAGCAACTACTAATTTAAGGTGGAAAGCATATATTTTCAATTAAATTATTAATTAAATTGAAAACATGGCTAAAAATCACAGCCCGGTATTGTGACGATGAATAATTGTTCGTTTCAATTTATATTATTTTAAAGTCCTAATGCGATTGTCATAGCCTTGTCACTTTATGTACTGTATAGTACATATTAAAAGGTACGGTACATGAAATATGATGTACCATGCATATTATTAATGCTGTATTTTTAGACGTGTTCGAAAGCTTAAAATATACTTCAAGAATAAAGGATTCTTAAATTTAATATTTTTTATTATATCTTCACAAACTGTTTAAGCTATAAATGCAGGAGGCGTCTTTTCTCAACAAAACCACATACAAATAAACTAACTTAAATTAATTGTGGGTAGTTAATTAACTATGGTAATTAAGTAGCTCAGTTGTTTTATTGAGGCAAACTTTTAGTAAGATTTAAATAAAATTTCACTACAATAATAAACGATAAAAGAAAATTTTCTACATATTCCTTTTCTTATTGGGCTGAAATTTTAAAAAAATTGCAGACCTATTAATCCCAAGAATGTAGTCAGATATATGTAAGACGATAACAGATATGTAAACTGACGGGCAGGAGATCCCGATTAACTATATATGAACTTCCGACTGGGAACGAAGATCACGTTATTTCAATTCAAAAGTTTTCACCTCCTCATGACTGAACTGTTAACCGGAAAAGCATGATACACAGGGGCAGGACACTACTAAAATTAAGAGTATTGTGACCTGGTCACAATAAATAATAGCTCGCCTCATTTATCTCTGCAATGGAAAATAATAATAGTAAATTAAGTATTACGTTTGAAAAACAGCGAATTGGATTATCGTTTTTTTATTAGATTGCGTGTTTATATAAAAATCAATAACTTTAATATTATTCTCCTGTTACACGGTAAATTGTTTTGTATAAAACTGTACTTCTGTTTTCACTCTAGCGTTTGCAATGATGTTACTTTCTTTCCTCAGTTTTACTTCCCTTCTAATTGGATGCTTGTGGTAAGTTACGAAATAATTTCAAATTTTATTGCTGTAAACATAAACGATATTAACAATAATGGATATAATTACTAGTTTAATTAATCGGCAATAAACTAGAATTACATCTGTTGCTGTTTTCCTTTAAGCAACTTCGAATTCTATACATTACTGACTGATGTAAATAACTTCTATTAGAAATTACAGTTCAATTCTTTTTCTTCATTACGAGTTACTACTTTCGTACGTCACAACAGGGCCGGTTTTCGAACCTCACACTGAGGCCCACGCTCAGAGTGGAATTTTTAAGAAAAACAAGGGGTGCAACAGTAGGTATAGTTGTAAATCTGAGAAAAACAGATGCTTGGTATTCATTATTATTATTATTATCTTTTATGATTTTTTACAATAATAACAATTACATATCTACTTTTATACCCACTGTATACTGTATATATATCTATATACATATATATATCTGCCAGGTCAACAATGGAACGTCCGGATGGAGAATACATTGTGAACCTGGCCGAATCCATAATGGCCATCATAACAAGAGGCCCTCTTAATATCCATAAGACAGAAAGAATTTAAAATATTTATGTGTATTCTATTCATATTATAGTTATTACTTTTATATTTATAATATAATATTGTGAGATTAGCAGAGGGTCAGGGGGTTAATGCCTTCTGACCACTTACACTGCAAGGGCTGGTAAAACCTGTTCTCGGATTTTCGGATGGCTTAGGAGGGCAAAAAGTGAGTGGGGAGTGCGTCGGTAAGTCGGCAGGTGTCCTTTAGAGATAAGCATTTATTTATATAACTAAGCTAGGATACATAGGTTAAATGCGGTTAAATAAGTTCACTGTACAAAAGAGACACTCTAACAGCTTTAACGGCTACATAGAGAGAGAGAGAGTTCACAAAGCTCTGAAACTACAAATACCTCTATCAGGATAAGTCTAATGTGCGTTCGCTGAATGCCGTATGAATCGTAATCGGCGCAGGAACTGCAGAATGGCGATGGAAGTTCTAAGGTGTGGTCGGTCATATGTCCTTTCGGTCGCTATGTCCGGAGTATGGACACAAGATGCACACAGTAATAAGTATAACTTCCTTTGGTCGCCCAGAGCTTCCCACGAAGAACGTATAAAAATACGTTCTTCGTGGGAAATGAGTTGATCGGAATGCACCGTTAGTGTCAATAAAAGTCGATCGACTTTTATGTACACTAACGGTGCATTCCGATCAACTAAGTGTCAACTTCCCCCCCTAAGTGTGAAAACAATCGGTGACCTCCGATATATTTCTGACCAAGAGTGTTTTTTCATCGGAGTTGTTTACAAAGTTTTTCTCGACATCGGCGTAAAAATCGCGGATTTCACAATATAATATAATATATACCAGGGGTGACCAACAAGTCCGACCGGTCGATCGCAAAACCAATTTTGGTCGATCGCTCGCGATGTCTTGACTTAATGTGTTACACTTGTAAGTTGTAACCGAACGCAACGCGTGAACGTAACGCGCAAACGCAACTGTAGTTATATCGGACCTCCTCGTTCTCCCTCAGATGCGTTTTGTCGGTCCATGTGCAATCCATTTGCGTTCAGTTGTAAAAGGGGAATAAGAAATGTAGATAAAGGGTCGTAAAACCAAAAAAAAAAAGAAGGGACAGAGAGAGTAGGTCGGGACACGGTAAAGAGAGGAAGGGTGAAGTGGTGGTCCCCGAAAGTGACAACGTAGAGTTTCAATTTTTCTTCTAGCCGGTTTCTCGTTTTAATTTTTGCTAAACTCATTGCAGAAAAAACTATTTACATACATAAGTTGTAGAAAATAACGTTTGAATTTTTGCTGCATACTTCTTAGGCTAGGAAATTGATATATTTATACACATTTTATGCGACTCGGGCCGCGGGATGCCCATCCCTGACTTAGACTATGCCTATGGCAACGAGTCGATCGCGACACATTTTTAAGATAAAAAGTAGATCTTATGTACACAAAAGTTGGCCACCCCTGACATATACAGTATGTATATCTATACTAATATTATAAAGAGGTAAAGTTTGTAAGTTTGGATGTAGGAGGTAATCTCCGAAACTACTCATCCGATTTCAAAAATTCTTTCACCAATATTTAGAATGGAACTTCAGGGTGGACATAGGCTGTGTGAGATAAGCAGTGGGTCAGGGGTTAATCTGGTACTGACCACTTAATCTGCACGGGCTGATGAAGCCCGATCTCGGGAGTCGTTCGGATGTCTAGGAGGGCAAATCGAGTGGGGTTGTGCGTCGGTAAGTCGACAGGTTTCCTCGGATAGACAGGAGACAGATTTAACAAAATAACAAAATAAAGGTTTATTCTATAACTAAAGTTAATTTACAGGAGTATACATAAGGAAGTTACAGACTTAATGCTTAAATGCGGATAACACAAATCTATCTATAATGGCGATCTAACTAGTCATTATGCCGCGGGAGAGAGTGGCGGTCAGGTATACCTTATGTTGGATGATGGTATGCGACGATCATGTCTTCTACCGGCTTCTCCTCGGACAGGACCGGGACAGGAGACACTGTACTCAGACCTTCCAGATGATCGCGCGGAGGGACGGTCGCACTGAACTTTCCGTGACGATCGTTTTTATACGATCGTCGTTGGCACTGAGCCAACTGGTCATTCACTCGTTATGATGACTAATTAGCACGTGCACGTTGACTAATTAACAAACGGACGATGACTTGTCTTTCTTCCTTCCTACCTTGTGAGTGTGTAAAATTCGACATCCGCGATCTATTTCCGTTATAACTTGCGATAAATTATTTTTTCCATCCTCTAATGTAAAAATATGTTAAACTCAAAAATTTACGCCCTGTAAACCCTTGGGCTCACACTACTTTCCGTTTTCTTTAAAATTATACGTCTTCTGGACAGTATAATTATAACATTCGAATTTACTCTCTCTCTGTATTAAGTTTCTCTAGACCGACATGGGGATTGCCTTATTCTTATGACTAAAATAGAAAATTTCCCGACAAAATTATCAAAAGTTGGATTGACAAAAATTTCGCGTGACGGCATCAACAATTTGACGCGTAACATTGAAAACTGCGTTTTTAGTGCCGATAGCACAACCGGAAGTGTCCTTGAAGTGACCTGGTTTAGTAGATCACAGTTCTTAGTAGCGGAGGTGTCGGTTGTTGGTTGACGGTCGCTATGTCGCTCATTCGGACGTTAGCCTTGTCAGTACGTCGGTCGTAACTCTATGTGGCTGTCTTCTGCGGAATTGTCCTCACTGGATGCCGGACTTGCAGTGTTGACAGTCTCAGTGTGTAAAGTTCGTTCACCCACCGTGTTGATTCACTTCAACATGAGTTTCAAGTCACAATAATAGAGGTCTATGTTACAGAAATTGTTATAACTAAATACTATCTCAAAAAAAAAAAAAATGATAATAGCGTGAAGCTAAAACTATGCTAGAGCTTGCGCTTTCCTAATTTCGTTGCCCAAATTTTTGATTCGCGGCAAGTCCCGAAGAAATTGTGCTTAATTTGCAGCATTGGCGTCGTGGAATGGGTCGGAAGTGGGATGTAACTTTGTGTCGTTGTGAGTTCATTTCGGTTATGGCTACTGTTCGTGCTGAGTTGTCTTCTATAGACTTGCTACGTCTTCTGATGAGACCAAAATTGACCATTAAAAATCGAAGTAATTGCGTGAAACTCACTAGGCTTGGTCGAAATTCTCCCTCTGGATTAGTTTCCGGTTCCGATCTTTTTGTGTTGCCGGGAAAATCTTCCGATTCGACTTTTCCGATCTCAATGTTATTTCTTCTGCTTTCTGGTTTGATAGTGTTTCCTCGGACATTCCTTCTATCCGATGGAGGAGGTGTTGAGCGTATTGTTCGAATCAGATTCGGCTCCAGTTCGACTTGAGCTGGAAATTGTTACTTGTCGATTCGAGGAGTTGATCGCATGAAGCAGAGTAACGATGTTTCTTCTGATCGGTTGGTCGATTTTTTTCTACCTCTTGTCTTCTTCGGTTTTCTCCACGAACAAAAGTGAATTATTTTTCCGTTAGGGAAAAGAATTCGCTTGTTATCACCGTCGAACATCAAATTTTCTTGCTCGAGAAAATCCTTTCCGATTATGCCCTCAAATGATAATGCGATTTTGGGAAATGTGTCCTCTTGATTTGAAGGTAGGCGTTGCCAGACCGATTGTTTGGATTGATTCACCTTTCGAACCCTTTATCTTCCCTATTGATCTGAATTTGATTGGAGCTTTGCTCTTAATTCTATTTGCTACTTCCTTAGATATCAGCGTGTCGTTTACGTTAGGATTTACGATAAATTTGACCGGTACATTATTCACATACCTTAAAATGATGGGCTCCTGCCTCACTTGAATCCTCGCTGTTCGAATGATGCCGTTCCACTTGTCCTCATCCTCTGAGGTGGAGTCTGATTGGCAAATTTGTTGAATCTGTCCAATTGATTTGAATTTTCGACGTCGTCTCTCCTGCCAGTCTCGATCTCCTTTCCAATATGGGGTAGATTTCTTCTGAAGATTTGCTAATTTACTTCTAAGGACGTCAATCTCCTGTTAACTTCTCTAGATTGTCTTCTGAGAGGGCGGTGAACCTTCTATCTTCGGAGGATTTCCTTTGAATAGTTCGTATGTTCCCGCGAGGATGTGTCGTTAGTCCTTCAATCCTTTCCTCACTTATAGCTGCCTTTAGTACTTCATCAAAAGTCATCGGTTATCGGGACATTACTCGTTGTCTTATTTTTAAGCTGATTCCGTTCAAAAACTGAGCCTTTGATCGTTCGTCCAATTCCTTTGCTTGTATGCGTTGGATAATAGCAATTTCAGCGGCATCTACTCCTTCATGCATTATTTCCATTTCTACTGCAAGGGCTTGTAACCTAACCGCGTATGTTTGAACGTCCTCATCCGGACGCTGAAAACAGGCATAAAATTTGTTCAGACTGATTGGGAAAGGTTCTTTGTGAAAGCGTTCAATTACAATTTTCTTAAATTCGTCATAGTCTTCTACTTTATGCGGCTATCCTTTCTAACGAATTCTCGAGCGATTCCGGTTAGTCTTAATTTAGTTATCGCTAACATCTGTGCTTTTGTCCAAGCAGCTAGCTTGGCTAGATCCGCCAATGATTCGAAAAACTTGCTTATGCGTGGATCTTCTGGCTTGCCGGAAAAACTGGGCAGCAAAGGGACCAAACCGCTTAGTCCTCCGAGTGTAGCGCGCGGATTTTCGCCTTCCATTCTAACGCTAATATATACTGGAATCCTCTATGTAGTGTAATTTTGGGCTATCTACGCCTCAGAAAATTTTCAGAAAAACCTGTCTATTGCGGACGAAACTTGCGTGCCAAGGACACTGTCTAAGACGGACAAACCTGTCTTATACACCCCATTCCTGCATTAATTTGAGATAAGCACTGGGTCAGAGGTTAATAGGGTACGTCATGAGAATGTACACTAAGAAGGGACTTTTCGAAAAATTCCTCCCCACGGGGAAGTGTTATACATTTATAATAGATACATTTTGAGCCACAACAACGCGTGGTGGTGTCTGCTAGTATGTATATATATATAACAAAGTTTTTAAGTTTGGATGTAGGAGGTAATCTTGAAAACTACTCATCCAATTTCAAAAATTCTTTCACCAATATTTAGAATGGAATCACCAATATTCATGGTGGACATAGGCTGTATATTATTTAGTTAAATATTTATACAAATTAAAAGATATCATCTAGGATTAAGGCTTTTATCTCCGACAGATGGCACTAACTCTGCGAGTACAACAACCTAAGTTTGCTTTTCTGTGAGGCATTATGCTTTTCTGTGAGGATGAACTAAAGTAGATCATCTATCTATCTATATAAATAAAAATATAATGTCCATTTGTTCCTACTAATTCCTTTGAAATTTTGACACAACGTTGCATTCGAATATGCACGTGTTTTTATATAATGTACATTTCAAAATTCCCCCACTGGGGGAAGATAGACAGGATTAAGGCTTACCATGAAGAACTCTGTTTCTATTTAAACTATTTTAGATGCGGGTTTTTGTGTTTTTGATTGTATTTTAATAGACTATGTCAAGAGAATGTACACTAAGAAGGGATTTTTTGAAAAATTCCCCTCCACAGGGGAAGTGTTATGCATTTATAATAGATACATTTTGAGCCACAACAATGCGTGGCGGGGTCTGCTAGTATTATATAAAAAAAAAATATATATATATATACTGTATTTTTTTAAAGTGGAACAGAAGATGAGAAAGTTATTCCTGACGGTTACAATCCAGACGATCCACCAATGGTTAATAGTAAGTTCAACATGCAATTGAATCAATAATTTTTTATTAATTAATAAATAATTTAATATTACGTTTAAAAATAAATAAAAACGAGAAATTGTTTATTGTGACATGGTCACAATGCCGGTCTGCAATTTTTAATCATATTTTTAATTTATTTAATTTAAAATATACACTCTTCACCTCAAATTAGTAGGAGCTTGCCCCTGTAATCATACTTTTCCTTTACAAAAGGAGCCGTGTCTGTCATCTAATTCCTTTCGGGAAAAACTTTTGAATTGAAATAATGTGACTTCCGGTTTGTATCGGAAGTTTTTATATAGTTAATCAGGCCTTTTTACTCCTAATATTTCTATATCTTGTCTCAGTTTTCACCTGTCTAACTTCTTTCTCGAGATTGAAGAAAGACAGACAGATGGACGGACGACGGTAGAAATTTATAGATCAATAATTTATTTTCAAATTGCAGCCCAATTATGACGATTATTATTGTATTATTTTAGATTTACCTGCAACTGTTTATGTTTCGTGTCAAGTATTGGGAATCGATACAATAAATGAAGCAACTATGGTGAGTAAATTATTATTAAATTATTAATTAAAGAATTAATATATAAAAAATGCTTCTGAGGTTAAAATCGTAATGTAATTTTCAAATATATTTTATTTTCAAATTAGAAATTGTGGAATAACTTGAGAAAATATTTTTTTGCTGCGACGACATTTACTTCACCATACTACTGTATGGTGAAGTAAATGAACATGTTGTCCCCATACGCAGACCACCAGTAGCCGAGTGGATGACTGTGAACACTGGAAGTTAAGTCGTGGGTTCCTGCCTGGCCAACGGGCTGGCCATGTGTTTTCTTTACGTTTGCACCACCTAAATAGGGGCAGTTTCCCATAGGAAGTTACTGTACCGTACCTCCTTAGTATATCGGCCACTTGACGCGTTGCTGTAAACAAATAAACCAAATGGTATAAACATTTTCGTTTATTCAAGAAGAAAGGAATAGTCATAAAATATTTTTATTTATATTTGCTTTTAAACTGTCGTTTTATACATATAAATATTAAAAATATAAACAAACATTTTATTTGTTCTATATGATTTATGCTGTTAGAGAATGATCTTCATAAATTTAAACATATTCAAGAATTTCAACTTTATTTGAAAAATAATTTTCATTTATTTAACAATTATATTATTTAATAAGCAATGAAGAAACAAACACCTTTAACAACAGATCGATAATGTAAAGTAGCATTAAAAATATTCGGGTACTAGGAAAAAATTGGAGTGGAACCCTAGTGAAATGCAGATCCTGGTCGCGGGTTCGCATTCCCCCAATGGACTAACCAAGCCTACCACCTAAAAGGGAACCAGTTTTTATAGAAAGGCACCCGTTTGGCAGATTGCCCACGTGTTGCATTGCTTTATCCATTACATCATGCAAGAAAGAATTCCATGGAGGATGCTTTCTTGGATAATTTTGAAGCCTTTTTTAACTTGTTAAAAATAAGTTTTAAGCAAATTTAAAAACGATTAAAAATTTTGAAATTCTTTTTCAGGATTTCCGTCTGATTTTGTTAGTAGTTGCAGTTTGGAAGGACTCGAGATTGAATTTAACGCATTTAGTTTCGGAACATGCTGGAACGTTTCCAAGTGATTTAAATAAAAAAATCTGGAAACCAAACTTTGGATATCCTAATACCAAACTGACTGAAGCATTTTATGACAATACGGAAGTTTCTTCTGTAAACATTCTATCGGATAAATCTCTGATTGGAGGTTTCAGGTATTTCATAGAAATATGTAATATATATCAGTAGTTTTTTAATATGACTATCTTATTGACTTTACCATATGTGAATACAATGTTATTCATTTTTAAAACTTTTGAAAATACTTTGATTTCAGAATGAATTTTTTAGTGGACTGTCCTATGGAATTGCACCATTATCCGATAGATGTTCAAATATGTCAGTTTTTAATTCTTCCAGGTAAATTTATTTATTGTTATTTTTAAAGGATAAATATAATTTGTAAGTTAGCCTGCATACTTATTTTAAAACAGTAGAAACTCTATTATCCGGAACGGTTTTCAAAAGCTCAAAGAGCATGTAGCTATGTATAACATGTGGCAAAAAAATGTAGTTTTGTACAAAGTACATGTTCCGTTCTGTACCACTTTGTGGTATGTTTCTGTACAGTACTAAGCTGTACAAAGACCAAACTCTCCATCTGACTGGAAATCTGTCAATTGTAGCATTACATTATCTGTCAATTGTAGCGCTGCGAAGCTAGATCATAGAAACACTATGTTAGATTTTAAGTATATTAATTTACCTTTAAATACATTAATTGCGTTACAGTATTTATTTTTCACGAAACTATAAATGCACACGAAAACAAATCAGTTTCTGGATTATCCGAAAGACCTTGGTTGCACCAAGTTTGAATTATCGAATTCCCGCTGTACTTTAGAATGTATTAATCCTGTATTTACAATAACAATAGTGAAATTTGCAATACACAGGATTTAGTTAGAGAAATTATTGCAAAAAGAAACTGAATAAGGAATGTGTTCGAGTAGGATGACACATAGGCTTCAATTTAGGCTGTTTATAAAATATTACTTCGATCTCGATCTGACTGTTATCTCTAGATAAGCGAGACGTGAATAAAATATCTCTGGTATAATCAAAGTAATAAGAAGTAAAAAAAAATTAAACGAGACAATGTAATTTAGATTTCATTCCACCAGATTGAAGTGCAAATCATAGAAAAAAAATAAATAGACATATGCTTTACCTCATGGTCAATCCACCGACTCCAAAATAGATGATTGGATTGGATTGATGAGATAAGTCAACGCAACTCGTGGACGATCTTCCAAAAGGAGACCCTCTCGAAAGAAATTTCTGAGGAAAATTAATTCCTATTTAAGTATAGATACATGAAGAAAACTGCAGTTTTTCAGCTAGCCTATTTATTGGTGATGCGTGAACCCACGACCAACAACAATGGTCAGTGATTCTGCTATGTTTCTTGTTTTAAACAGGCCTTATTATTACAATCTATCTATATATATATATATAAATGGACATGTATGTCCCTATATTTCACTTTTCCGCCAAAACTACACATCGCACGTGAATGGTGTTTGTATGTGGTGGTAGCCCCAAGTCTCCATTCGTGCATAGGGGTGGTTGCGTCTCGATAGCTATAAGGGTGCGGGAGATATGGGCTTGAAAGTGGCTTTCTATTTCAAATGTTTTGTTCGAATTTGTTCGAATTAAATTCGAACATAAAATTCGAATATTGGTTCGATTATAGAACGATTGTAAACGTTCCAGAAATGTTGAAAATAGTTCGTTTGACTTGACGTGAACAGGAGACGTTCAGAAATAGAATCGGGACCAGATCTCTAATCAGAAACGGGGGACCTAATTCTTGCATTCTGTGAAAACGAGTAAGATTGGCAATAATGTAATTATCTTAATCTTCACTGTCGTTACCTTTTAAAAACCCAGCGAAGCGGGTCCTTGCAGCTAGATTCTAGATTACTTAGAAAAACAGTCTTTTATATATATATAAAAAACTATATTACATACAAATGTACGAACAAATGAAAACCCAGCGAAGCGGGTCCTTGCAGCTAGTTAATATTATAAAATCCACTAATTTTTACTTGCAATTCAATGGGCTGCAATTTTCATACCTATATCTACACCGTAATCCGTTGTTTTTGTCCTTCGTTAATCTCGAAAACAGGATTAGATAGATGAAAATCGAGACTAGGTATTGAACGCTTAGTGGCCGGGGAACTTCCGAGCTAAACCGGAAGACAAGTGGATTTTTAAATTAAAACATAATTAAAATTTCAGTCTGTCATTGTGACCATGCCATGATAAATATTGCTTATTATAAATTTTGTTTTTTTTTCAATTAAGAAATATTGTCAAAAACAAATAAACCTACTAGTTTTAAACATATTTCAAATTTATCAGAAATAATTGAAAAGTAATGGAAAATGGTATTGAAATCCCGTTTAAAAAAAGTAAAATTGCAGGATGAAGGATGAATAATTGCGTATTAAAATTGTTTACCAACTTTATCAAGATAAATATAATCTTATTAATATAGAGCAACTATTTATTGTGACATTGTCACATTACCTTGCTGCAAATTTTTAGATTCCGATGTACAATGCTCTTCATTTTAGTATTTTCTTGCCCCTGTACATCATTCTTTTGCTGTTAACAAGAGAGTCATGCCGGGAGAAAATTTTTGAATTGAAAAGCATGACTGCCGTTTCAGACCGGAAGTGTTTATATAGTTAATCTGGGCCTCTGTCTCCTAAGCTTTCCATTTATGTCTCGGCGTTCATCTATCTAACTCCATTCTCGAGATTAAACATGGACATCTAACAGACAGACGCCAGTGGAAATAAACAGATCTGGAATTTTAAAATTGTAGTCCAATAATATAAATTTTCGAACCGAAAGTAAAAAGTTTTACACATCTTGAACTATGAAAAAATGTAAGTGTAACTGTTTCACATACACGACAGAAATATACAACAGAAAACAATATATTTAACTATGCAAATAACGTTTGGAGGTGAGCGAATACACGTAACGTATGCAAATACAATAGTAGTGTATAAAAACCGTTAATCATACATGCAAAGAAAAAATATACTACAAAAAAAACAAATATAATGCACGTTTATGTCTCAACGAAGAAATTTTACAATACGTTCTTATACATGTAAATTAGAAAGAAGGAGACCGAAATCAGAACTGTAATCACTGGAAATGTTCATCATGTGAATGCTAAGTCCAGAAAAGTTACGCTATTCTATCTGCTTCCTAATAAGCTCGAAGTACGAGAGGGCCAGCCAATCGCAGCCATGTGGAAAGAGATCAGTTACAAGATATCAAACCGCCTTACGAGTGTATCGAGAAGGACGAACAGACACGATACACAGAGAGCCCAAACGCTGGTTACAAACCGATCAGCTAAATTTCATCCAGAAACTTCTGAACGATGATTGTTCAATCACAATTTATACTTTATGCCTCCTGATTTAAACCCATTATGAAAAATTTTAAACGGTATTACGTGTTAGAAAATGTCGCAAGTGGGTACAACTTATCTATTCTTAGGTAGTTCTTACATAGCAGCCACATACTGTGGACCACATCATTTATTATCAAGGTCTTGGATAAGGCCTAACTAAATCATAAAGTTGTTTTGCATAAGAATTTTCCGATCAAATTGCATATTGTTCTATTTCATGTTGTATTCTTCCATTATATTTTCCATAGTGCATACGTTATTTGACTAATTAGGCTTTATATGACTAGGAATGTCTACTCACTTATGGGATATTTTTCTTTTTGCGGTGAATACAGTATTCTTCTCTGAACCTACGTTATGAATACAAGTGGGCCCGATTGTAATTATCTCCTTGATTAAAGTATTATTTGGAAAATCTGATATTATCAATTATTACAAATACTAAAGATTGGATTTGGGCTTTAGGGGTTCTAGTAGCTTCTAGAGCAGACAAATGAACAAAAACTTCGAGTCTATAAGAAACCAGAGATTTAAGATTTATATCTTTACTAAGATGCTATTTGTTGGGACATGGGGTCCAATTAAATTTGAATTAGGGGACCCCATGTACAATTTTGACTTCGGACATTTTTCAAAAATATTTACTTATAAAAGATTGATTCGAAATTGGTTTGCGCCCTGGCGCCCAACCAATTTCGAATCAATCGACACCCTGACCACGCAACACCCTGAAATTTTGTTCATAGGATAATTCACCACTGTCTTGAGAACTGTGTAATAGAATACACAGTTGTGGGATTAATGAATACATATAATTATGAATACCGTAAGAAAGCCAAATATATTTTACTTAAATGAACTTCATACAATCAACTAAGTATATATTAATATATTGAGAACCCGAAATCGATTCCTGATTACGATTGCCTTTAATAAGTGTGATTCTTATCTCTTTAGTTACAGTGATTAACTTCATTGCAGGTCGAATCCACAACAATGGGTAAAATTATTTATTATGCTGGCTTTAATGAAGCTAATTACTAAATCATTCAGTCAAATGCTTTCAATAATGAATCAAATTTTAAACACGTAAAATTACGTTTTTTTCTTGCCGTTATTATGCAAATTATTATATTAATCTTCACTTGATACTTGATTATAACTGAAGTAACAAGTTCAAAATTAATGATCTTTTTACATTTTTAAACTAATTTGAATTTATATTTTAGTTATGTATACGGAGAGTGAAGTCCGTCTAAAATGGATGGGAGATAAGACTAGCCCTTACAAATATCTCGGTAAAAGTGTACAAGTCAGAAACATAAACCTGTTAACGTACGAGATGGATGAAATCAAAGTTAAGCAGTTTCAAACTGTATGGTTGAGAGGTATTGCTCATTATACTTATTTTTTGATTCTTTATACCAATTTTCAATAACTTACGCGTCCATCAATCTCCGAGTAGACAAAAACCACTAAACAGTTAGTCAGTCGTGGTTTCGCGTCTTGGCAACGGGTTTTATGGCAACATGGAGTTTCCCGGGATTTCTTTATGTATGCCACGTAGGGTTTCCCGGGTTTTTTACGTATCTAACAAGTAAATCGGACCAGAGCGCCCAAGTGGTGCGTTGTCTTATTCTATAAATCTAATGATTATAAATTTAAATTAAAATATACAGAGCTTCTTTATTTTTAAATATAAAACTGATTTTCTTTTTTTCCTTTAAATTTCATGTTCTTCATACAGAAATTTTAAATTTTTGTGTATTCTGGAATAATCAGAAATACGAAAATCCAACTCCAGAAACGTCTAAGACTGTATATTGCAAGTGTATAACAATTAAAGAAACAGAATAATCACGTTTTAAGTTAATGGAAAATAAACCCTTGCCATACAAAAAATTATATAAAATATAGTTTTATCGAACTAATTCGATAGAAATATATTTTATATTCTATTCGGAATAATGGATTTTTATTTATTAATCTGACTTTATATCAATGATCAGTATTAAGATGATGATGATTGACTTAATGGAACGATTCTTTATCCGAGGCCTATTGCACTCTGGAAGTTCTTGTGGACTCTATGCATTCAATCTATGCAGGACATCGAGGAGTTTTCTCGGTCTAACACCTAAATAAGGTCCAGTTTTACAAGAAAAAGTTCTCCCGAGAAACGATTTTCCTTTTCCTAATTCCCCTCCTATTGCGTTGCGTATCCCATCAAGTTGAATTTAAGTTCTTGCGTCTAGCTCCTGGCATGTTGCAAAATCACATCAAATAGACGTCAATTTGCAGCACGCCAAGATCTAGAGTTAACTTAAATCAGTTTCGTACTTACTTTTCAAGAATTTATTTTATTTTTCGTATGGTAGTAATTTTAAAGATGAAGTCCGTCGTGTTATGGAAATTACACAGCTGCGTATTTTGCCTGATGCTTAATACGGCCCTGCCACGCGCACATTAATTGACATCATTATCTTCACTATTGGTATATCTAGTAGCCGTTTAAAGCTTAAAACTACTATATTTTAATCAAATATTTCTTTGCGTGCTGCTTTCAATTTACAAGTAGCCTAACTTATTTTTGATTCTAGTTAGACTATAAGAGAAAAAACCACAAAAATCATTTCTAAAGACTCAATTTATACATGAATTATTCAATTAATTAAATTAAAAGTTTGTCTTGTAATGTTTAATTCGTGGGTTTCTTTACAATTATTCCAGACAATATCTCTACACTAAGTGCCGAATTTACATTTAAGCGACGTCTGACCGGTAACATGATGAATGTCTACATCCCTAGTACACTAGTAGTCATGCTGTCATGGCTCTCATTTTGGATCGACGTCCACGCAACACCCGCACGCATCACTTTGGGTGTGACTTCAATCCTGACTTTAGTCACTCACTTGGTGCAGTCCAGAAGCTTCGTGCCTCCTGTGGATTATTTAAAGGCTCTGGATGTCTGGTTTATATTCTGCATCGTTCTGATATTTTTATCTTTACTGGAATACGCTTTCGCTTATCAATCCGTCATCAATGTAAAAGAGGTAAGTAAAATAAACTGTTTCCAACTTAACATTCAAATATGAAATAAAACAGTTTAAAATGCAGGCCTTAAACATTTTGTCGTGTAAAGAAAATAGTTTTAATTAATGAACACCATTATTGCTCACGTTTTTTGAGATTGGGGTGAATGATAGTGAGTTGACATCACCATTATCATATAATGTACTTCACTGCAATGCACTTTTCGGGCAGACATGATTAAATATTACACTTGGCTACATTTAACATTCGGAGTGGTGAAGTACATCATTAAATATATTGTCTTGGCAGTTTGATGTGTCCTCAAAGATTCGATCTTCTATTTTAATTAGAAATGAACATTTGAGCTACATGATTTGAAGATTTTATTCAAAGCAGGTTATTAAATAAAAGCGTTTAATAATAACAACATCGTATGACTCGTTTTTCATCGAGCTGATAGCTCATATTATATAGTATAGGTTGTTCCACTCGAAAGTACTCAATTTTAATTCGCCATAAAAAATGAATGGTTTAAGATATATAAAAGCAACAAGTGGCATCGGGTGCAGAAACTCATCACGTTTTATAAATATTTTTTCCATGCTGCAAGATGAGGCAAAAGCCGAATTTTTAGCATTTCTGTCCAGTCATGGCTTCGCCACAGGAGAAAGCGCAAGTCGTAGTCTGGTATGCCATATAGCGTAGCCACTAAGATCTTCTGATATGACATGACCTCTTTAATATTTTTTCTGTGAAGTTACGTGTAAGATCTGGTTTATGCATGTTTGGTTAGAGACCTTCAAGCTACAGCGTACATAGCAAGAAATTGCCTACCGTCTTTATGTTGTCACTGTGAATATTAGAAAGCATATAGGAATGTGGTGATTTTTTCGTGAAATTTAGTGAGTTCTTCTCTCATACGAAATTTTTGTTGAACTTATACCTACAATTGTTAATTTTTTATACCTACATTGAATTAGATACTTTCGTGTGGAACTCCCTGTACATATAATTTCTAATAAAATCTATTGATTACCTTGTATTTCCGTTATTTAGAATATTTTCATTGCAGTTATTAGTACCGTTTAATTTATTAATAATTTAATTATTTGAAATGTAAAAGAAATATATTTAAAATCAGTAGTACCGTTAAGTTACAAGGTGCATTATTCTGTTATACTTTTTTAATCAAATTTCATACAGCTGAATAAGCAAACCAATGACAAGCAACTCGTTTCATATTGGTTTGATTATTGAGCTGCATGAAAACTGTTTTACCGGGCAACTCACCCAATGAGAGCATTATACTTATAAAATATCCGCTGGAGAAAAATTTAGTTCTAAAACTCACCACTTTGGGACTTTCGGCGTTGTGAGTGCCAGCTAATTAAATTTCAGATCCTATAAAGTAATTAAATTATCCTTTTTCCTTTTTAAAATCTTTAAAACTTCGACAAGTAAAGCAGATTTTAAACTACAATATTTATTTATTTATTAGTATTTTGAACAATTATGTATTAGACAGATTTGATTAATTCTTAGAACTATTTTTTTTGNATATATTTTTTTTTCTGTTAGGAGAAAAAAACCCAAATTGAAACGATAAATTCAGACCCGAAGAAAGAGAAGATCTCAGAAATGATTAAAGGATGGATGTCGCACTTGAAGGATATAAGGAACACTCTGATTGGATCAAAACACATAAATTCTTACGATAAAGTGTCCAGATACATATTTCCTTTCGTATTTATCAATTTCGCTAGCTTCTATTGGTTATATTATCTAGGCTACAGGTGCCTAAATTGAAAACATCACTTGAAAATTTTGGTATTAATAATATCTTAAGGAATTAAGCTTTATTTATTATTAAAATTCATGCTTGAATGATTATGTATACATGCTGAATTCTTCAATAACATTTTTAAAAATGCATAATACTTCTGGGCATCATTTAACTTCACACATTTAAAACAAGTTTGAAATACAGCGGTGCCTTGTACTAAGGATTCCAAATGTTTTAAGTACGAATCAATTTACCCCTATTAAAAATAAGAAATACGATAAGAAGTAAAATAAAGACTTGCAATGAAATTTTTGCAAATGCTTTTTAAGAATATTAATCCACTACAAGCTTGCTTACAATAAAAAATGTACGCATTGAGTCGATACAACAGGCTCACTATTAAATAATAATTTATATAAATAAAGCTCTACAGCTGAGAACTTACCAACCTAGGAATCACTTCGTGGATATAGTAAGTAAAAAAATCTAATTGTAATTTTAAAATCAATAATTTTTTTCTGTTGTAAACAAGTCAATAAAAGCTGCTAACTTTAACTATTTTTGTGTACTTTTCAATATTTTATACATTTCTGAAGGTCTAATGTTCGGCAACACTAATTTAATCCTTCCCCTATCGACTTAAATTAATAATTAAAACTCATTAATTATGCAACAATCCTTGAAAACCGTGAGACCTTTAACTATTTTCAATTTCTGGGTGCTCGGTGGTTCCCATATTCATGAAAGAGATGCGTGAATTAAATAAAATTGGGAACCGCTGCTGTAATGGAATGAAATATGACTTAGGTATATTTTAAGATTGATCTACACAAAAATTTAGCAATTTTTAGAGGAAGTAGGCCTTAAATTGATGGAATATAAAATAAATAAATAGTGTAAACGAATTTTCCTGCCATTTAAATAATTAAGAGAGAATTAATAAATTCGATTTTCAATACAAAACTCCAATGAAGATTCCTCGCGAACATACGAAACTGCAACAAACATCCATAAACTGTGAAATTCTTAAGCAATCTATATACACGTAATTCATTTAATTTACTTCTATCGCACATGTAGTTAATTTCTAAGCGTTAATAATATGCACTGTCATTATATAACGTAAACGATATGAACTTGTAACGTATATTGCATGAAAATTGAGGAAAATTGCACTACGTCATTTTTTAAACATCCTTTTCTCACTCTGGACACTAAGATATCTTTTTAGCAAGCCCATTACGGGTTCGTCCAGGATTACAATGCGACGGTCAGATGATGAGGGGCGAAGTCCGACATATCCGGATGGATCATCCTCCGAAAAATTCGATCCTTTCAGATTCTATCCGGGATCCGTAGAGTGGTAAGCTGCCACCTTAACTGCTCAGCCATCCTACTGTAATTTCCATCATGTATTATATAAATTATTACTTTCACATCAAAGACAATAAACAATATCTATTCAATAAAACAATTCGAAGTGTCTTAATTTGTTTTGATTTTCCTCATTGCATAATTACAATAAATTAATTTATTAACTTTTACTTATTATTTAAAGACTTAAAAATTTACTAATAAATTTAAATTTCAAAAATCCATAAATAATGTAACCGAATATAAATATATGTTGGTTTTTAACTTCACAAAGGGGAATTAAGTGCATAAACGTGCGATCGATCTACATAGTGACCTCAAAGGTTGTTGTCCAGGTAACGGTAACTTTTTCCAACGCGTATCTGACGTGCTACCTGTATTAAAAATCAAACATTAACTGAATTCTCAATACAACGCTGTGGCATATTTGCGGGTGTTTAGGTTTAGGCATTGAGACATGCCAAGGAAGAGTGACTCCCGGGAAGTCTCTTATGAAAAACTGGCCCCTATTTAAGTGTTACTAATGTGAAAAAACTCGGAAAACTCTACGTGGCCAGGCGCGAACGCACTACGAACTACCAGTGTTCGGTGGTTTTATCCACTCTGTCACTGGTGGGTTACTTATAGAGGTGATAGGGGTGTTGAATGCCTAACCGGAGTCTTTAGGAATAAAATTTAAACTAAGAAATTCGTCTTGAACAACAAATCTAAACTTACGTTTTAATGAATAATTCCATATCAATTAATTAATGATGCTCAGTTATCAATAGCCTACTTATATTACGTGACTGTGGATTGTACTAGAAGGTAGATAACCAAATTTCTTCCGGAAATTTCCTTCTAGATGTATCGGGAACATTCTAGAGCATTAGTCTGGCGGGTATATATATAGACTATATATATATACCAGCTGCCGAGATATGATCGTCCCTTATATATATATAAGGGACGATCATTTCTCGGCAGAGAGGGGTAAGAAATAATCATCCTCCCTTAGAGTATAATCTTAGTTAGGCCACCTCTTGTAATGACCCAAAAAGCCCACATTCACCACCACATTCTGGATCAGCGATGTCGAATCTTTTCCCAAAAATGGATTAAAATTGAATTCTAAATATATTAACTCTTAAGTTGTGTGTCGCAGAAAAATCTCTGATTCTATTTGTATATGTGACATTTTTTCGATGCTTATCCCTTAATTAATATTTAAAAATCTGCAAGAATACAATTATTGCAGAAGTAAAATTATAATAAAATCATTCTGTTCAAAAGTGGGATTATTACTTTAATTAATGGCGCCTACATAATATAAGCCTATGGAATGCCATATTTATAAATTCGCCACCGGCTTTAACCACCTTAGCCAAATACTACTAGTGTGCATTCATTAAAATTATTTTAATAGTAAAACGTGCAAATATTTATTGTGGAGTAGTCACAGTGCCGGGCCTGGTTCATGGGCCTGGCCTGGTTCGTGGGTTTGGTTCGTATTTTTAATCATACTTTTCATTTATTTAATTTAAAACATATGCTCTCCATCTCAAATTAGTAGTAGCTTGTCCCTGTACATCATACTTTTCCTCTTAGCATCAGAGTCATCTATCTAATTTCTTTCAAGAAAAAATTTTTGAATTGAATAATAAATGGAAATTGGAATTCATGATTTGACGATTATATGATTGATTGATTTATGATTGATGAAATCATAAATAAAAACTGCAACCTAGTGGCAAATTCCAAATTTACTATTCCAATCAATTATTTCAAATTATACCAAAAAAGCTAATTGAAAAAAGGATAATCGGGTGATTTGAATAATAAATTCAGATGACCCGATTATCTTCTTTCTTCAATTAGTTTTTTTACATTTATTCTAATTAAAGCATATTCGTTTAATTTCTTTAAATATAGTTATTTGAAGTCACCCATAAAAATCTTTATAGCTAAGTATCTTACTAAATGGCATGCGGACTCAAAAACGTACGTCTTCCCTAGTATAGGACTTCAGTTTGAAAATTGCAGCCCAATAATCCAACAAACTGCATTTT